TCTGTCCTCCTTTCCACTGCGTATGTCCGTCTTAAACTAACCACTCCCTGCCCCGACTCCCGCCCCAATTGAAGCTAGCTGGTGCCCTTGGGGGCCCTTCCCTGCTGACCCCTGGTGGACTGTGGTTGCAGGGAGGAGAAGGAACAGTGGATTCGGGCCAAGTATGAGCAGAGGCTCTTCCTGGCACCCCTGCCAGGCTCCGATGTGCCCCTGGGGCAGCAGCTGCTGCGGGCCGTGGTGGAGGATGACCTGCGGCTGCTGGTGACCCTGCTAGCCCATGGGTCCAAGGAGGAGGTGAACGAGACGTACGGGGATGGGGATGGGCGCACTGCGCTGCACCTCTCCAGCGCCATGGCAAACGTGGTCTTCACCCAGCTGCTCATCTGGGTGAGTGCTGTGCCCGCCCTGGCCGGGCCCTGTCGCCCACACCTCTGACTGCCTCACCCTTCTCCCGCCACCCACCCCTGTTATGCCACTTGGGAAAATGTGCTTTCTCCACAGTACGGGGTAGATGTGAGGAGCCAGGATGCCCGGGGCCTGACTCCCCTGGCTTACGCCCGCCGGGCCGGCAGCCAGGAGTGCGCAGACATCCTGCTCCAGCACGGCTGCCCCGGGGAGGGCTGCGGCTTAGCACCCACCCCCAGCCGAGAACCCACCGGCGGCACCCACGCCTCTGCCGAGCTGCACCGCAGCCCCAGCCTTCTATGAGGCCCAGGAAGAGGCCCTGGGGCCAGAGGACTGTTCAGCTTAGCCGCCCCCACCTGCCTCTTTGCAGGCTCTGGGAAGACAGGGCCGCAGAGGCGAGAGCTGGAGACGTGAGAAGGACGGAGGGAACTGGGGACTGAGGCAAAGAGGAGAGGGAGATAAGAGGGGGAGAGAGCGGGTCTGGGGGAGCTTTGGGATTCAGGTTGCAGCTGGCAGCGGGAGGGGAGGCACTTGGCCCTCAGCCCTGTAGGTGCTATGGAAAAGGGCCGGGGCCCTGTCGGGGTTACCTGTGAGGAGAGAGGAGCAGGACCTCTCCTCTCCTCCAGATAGCCCACCTTTAGCGCCAGTTCCCTGTTCATCCTGAAGCAGAAAAGGGGCCCTGTTGGGGAGCTGCTGGGGAGAAGAGAGACAGGAGTGATCTCTTAAGTCCCATGTAAAATTGTATATTGGAATATTTATGTTGTGTACATATTTGTGTGTGTGTGTGTGTGTGTATGTATGATGAGCCAATAAACCAGGCTGTGTGTAGCCTCGTGTGCCTCTCTTCTCTCTCTCTCTGCCCCTCCAAACCCGTCCCCCATCTCTCCTGCTTCGCCCATCTTTCTCACTTTGGCTCTGAGTTCTCAGCCCTTGTTTCTGTGGCCCGAGTCCCATGTCATCTCCCTCTTGGCCGCCCCCCTATGCCCACCCCCACCCCGTTGTCACTCCTCCAGCCTTTGGCTGCGGAGGCCCTGGGCGCAGCTGTGTTCAGGAGCCTTGGTGGCAGTGAGATCAAAGCAGAGGAGACACAAGAGCTCTGCTTCCTGATCACACCACCTTCCCCATTTGCTCCTCCCCTCCCCAAACCCCTGAATCCTCAGCGATATTCTAGCGAGTCACCTCGGGGCCGCACACCTGTGCCGCCAACCACTCCCTCCCCCAAAATGAAGGCTGAGCTCCCCTGCCCACCCGAGCAAGTCCACACTGCAGGGGACAAGTTTGGGGAAGGCTAGACGTTTACTGGGGCAGCACCTATGTCCGTCTGCAGACGCTGCCACAGCGGAAGCCGGCTAGTATCTGAACTTTTCTATTGAGGGGCTGGGGGTGGGGTGGCTAAAGGCTCACCCCCATCTTGCTGACTCTCCCTAAGCAAGAAGCGGGGGAGGCCCCTTCTCTCCGTTGGTTCTTAGGCAAGCCTGCCGCGGGGGACAGAGGGTCTGGGCGGGGCCAGTGTGAGCACCTGCCTGTGTGGGTGATACTCTCCAGAGGCAGCTGTCTGAGGGTTTCCCCGCCCACAGCTCCTTTTCATGAAGCTGACAAGAACCTTAAGTACCTGTGAAGACGGAATAGTCGGGGTCATGAGGACATGCAGAAACGGGTTTAGGTTTAAGTAGAAACAAATGGGTTTGAGGTTTAAGAAAAGGCTGGAATTAAGCACCTCCGGGTTCCCCGAGGGAAACCAGGCCTGCTGAGTACTACGTACTATAGACACGAAGGGACCCGACCTTGTTCCAGCTGCTGACCCTTCCTGCCTCGGGCAGCACCCAGAGACCCTCCTCCACCCCAGCCTGGTCCCACGTCGAGGGGGTTCTTGTCACCGCGATGACCGTGGTCTGCAGCTGCTGCCTGGTCCAGCTGCTAGGGAGTGCATCTGGAAGGTTCCCTGTGTGGGGCCCAGGTAGGTCTACCTTGATCTCAGTCGGGTCGGAATGACCGGACCACATGCTCTGGGCCTACTGACATTTGGCCCAGGGGTCGGGTCGGGCAGACTTGCCTATGTCCAGGCACCCTGGCGGGGAGACTTCAATACCATTGTCAGTCTTCCGTCTCCACGCTGCCTTTGTTTGGTTCCCAAAAGCCAGCCAAGAGACATGAGCTGCCCAGAGGTCTCCTCTAGTCTCCCTGCAGTCTCCAACGCCCAAGAAACCAAGAGCAGCCAGCGCTGAGGAAGGTGAGGGGGCTGACCGGGTGGTCTGTACAATGTGATTCACCTGGGACAGATGGCGGGGAGTCAGAGCCGTCTGGTCACTGCAGGCCATTGCTAGGAGGCCAGCTGGGCCTGACTTTTGCAGTCCGCCCGGTTCCCGCACATATCCCACAGCCAGCCCCCCAGGTAGGGTTTGGATGGAATAGAACCTTCCTGGGGGGGGGGGGGGGGATAGAAAGTGGCCAGAGTTGGCCTTGTTTCCCTCGGTACCACGGAAGCCTCCAGCCCTGTTTCCGTCCACTCGTGTCCCTCAACACACCTGCCCCAGCTCCAAACCCTGAGCACCCCACAGTACAGACCCTCTTGGAACCAGCCTTCAACTTGCAGTGGCCCCCCACCCCCAACCTTCTGTCTCTTAGCGTACTGCCCCTCCTGCGTGTGACATGGCAGGAGGAGAGGCCACACGTCCGTCCTGCCATCAGGGTCGAGAACTGGACACGGTACTGCTCCCTGTAGGTCATCTCTGATAGTCCTTGCGTTGGGACGTTGGCAGGCAGCAGAAATGGACCCTGGTCAGGCCTTTTACGTGGAAAATAATTTATTAGTGAGTCCACAAGTAGACATGGACAAAGCCCTGGTCCCACCTCTGACAGCCTCTCCTAAGGGACAGAGGCCTGGACAGAGCGCACGCATGCAGGGCCTCCTCTCCCCATCTGGGCACACAGGAGGTGGGCCCTCTGGGCCCCTCTGCCTCCGGTGGCAGGGCAGGACGGGAAGCTGAGCCGTGTCGGGAGGCCACACTGGGCTGGCATAAGTGCGTGGACAAGGGGCAGCAATGGAGGTAGCTTTGATGGGTGAGGATGTGAGGATTAGAATCTCTCAGGAGTCCAGTCGCGGTTACATTGCTTAGTCTATGCGCCTGATGACAGGAAGGAGGCACCGACCCCCGAGAAACCGGGTGGCCACAGTTGAGAGAATGGAACTTCCCAGCCCCTTTGGGGGTACAAATGTTTAAGTGTCCAATATATACAAGCTTTACACGAAATAAATAAGGAGCTGGCATGAGCTTGGCATCACACCATGGCATTCCCCCCACAAGGCCGTTGCAGAAGCCTTCCAGGGAGGAGTGTCTGATCCCACCCGCTCTACGGCCACCCTGATCTCAGTCCCCCGAGGAAGCCCGAGGGTCCTGGTCCCGGGAGCCTCTCTGAGCAGTCTTGGCTGTGCCTTCCCCGGGAGGGGGAGGGTGTCACATCAGGGCCGGGCCCCCTGCTCCATCTGCTGGTGCTGGCTGCGCACAGCGAACCTGTTGACGTGCACGGGGATGGGCACCACGATCTTGGGGTTCCGCACGGGCTCCCCAGAGCGGCTGCTGATGTTGCCGGCTTTGATGCGCTTCCACTTGGCCCGGCGGTTCTGGAACCAGATCTTGACCTGCACCTCGCTGAGCTTGAGGGCGTGAGCGATCTGCGAACGCTCCGTCAGAGAGAGGTACTTCTTGCAGTGAAACTCCTTCTCCAGTTCCAGGAGCTGCTCACTGGTAAAGGCGGTGCGCCGCCGCCGGCTCTTGCCACCGGGCGTTGTGGCCCCCGCCCCGGGCGGACCCTCCTCGGCACCAGTCCCCAGGCCCTCCTTCAGCTGCGGCTTGGGTCCCAGAAGCGGCCCCGGGCCGCCGGCCACTCCGTCCAGGATGCTGTCCTCACTGTCGCCAGAGCCCTCCTCCTCCTGCTCGCTGCTGCCGGCGAGGTCGCCCACAGGGGCCTCCAGCTTCTCTTCGTCAGAGCTGTAGGCCTTCCCCTCTGCTGCTGGAGGGACAGGACGGCAGAGGGCAGCCCATCGGGGGCGGGGAGAGGTTCGGGGAGACAAAGAGATGGGAAGAAACACAGCACAGGTTTCACTACGGCATAGTACTACGGGGGGAAGCAGCCCCGTGTCCCAGAGGACCACCACCCGGGCCCACTCGCCCCCAACATCAAGGGTCTGGCAGCAGCTCACTCCTCACCCCTGCACTTGTCAGCCAGAAGCCTGGTTCTGGCGTGAACCAGGGCAGTCAGTGGTGGGGTTGGGGGGTGGGGGACCTGCAGCGTGCAGGCCTCTGTGGCTCTCTGCCTGAGGGGGCTTCCAGAGCACCTTATCCGCCCACCCCATCCAGGTCCAAGAAGGGCTGTCCCAGGGCCCTGGGTCTGCAGTTTGCCTTCCCTCTTTCCTAACACCCTGCCCATCCGGGTCTTCAGCCCTTATTTTAAGACGATACCTCTGTTCCCATATAACCCCCTTTTCTGCCCAAGGGACACAGCGATGCAAACCGCTGCTCTGGGCTCCAGCTCACAAGAAACTCCCGTTCCCACTCGGAGCTCGGCATCCAAGGGCAGGACTGAGGGGCAGATGGGAGAAGGGTGGCCAAGAGAAGGGAGTATTGGCTAATTTAGATCATCGACCATGTGTCCTCACAGGCATAGGTCATCCACACACAGTTCAGCATCTTAAGGCGTCCATTTCACTCCAAGCCACCAAGACTTTGGTCAGAACGACAAATGTTTTCGGTAGATTTGAGTTTTAGAGATTCCCTGGTTCTCTACCCAAAGGATCAACCTGTGGCCAAATCCACTCCTCACTGGCAGCTCCTGTAGAGGTGGGTCCCCTGTCTGTCACTTCTCACATGCACAAGCCTGCTCAGGTGCGGGGCACAACTTAGAATCAAGTAAAGTCGGCCCGGGGAACAACAAGATGGTTCACAGGAGAGTGTGGATAGGACGCCTTTTGGAAGTCACCTGACCTGACATTCTCCCCTAACGCTCACTGTCAGTCTGAGTACCAACAAGACTCTCTCTGCGGCAGCAGCCTAGTTAACTCCTATACCTGCCCTGTTTCCACAACTGCCCGCCCCCCGCCCCCCTGCTGCAGCCTGCACACGCACCTTAGCTCAAGGGCCACATTTTCGGGAGAGGAAACGCAGCCTGTGCCCAGCTCTCCTACATCAGTCGCCTCCTGGACTGGAGGTTACTTTACTACCCTCTTTGGCCCCACCCCCGCCCCATTCCCATAGCACTTCATTCTTTATCAAACCTCTCAAAGCCCATGTGGCAGGCCCCAGCATAACCTCACCCAGCCTGTTCATGCAATTCCCATTCGTGTGCTTGTCACCAGCCCATGGTCCTTTGTGCTCTCTTCAAAAGCTTGCCCAAGCTTCGATAACACCCAGCTTCAACGGCTGTCTGTAGATAAACGGATCGTCTACAATGCATTCCTCATAATCAGCTCCCCCATCGCCAGCGCTTTCTCCTGGGTCCTCCCCTCGCTGAATCCAGCTTGCTTTCGGCAAGATTCACACCTGTGGTTCTCCACTTCCACAGGATTCCATTTTAACATGTCCCAAACCTGAGTCCCTGGTCTTTGCTCCCTAAACCACCCTGTTCCCCATCACATTGGATGGCAGCTCCATCCCTCCCTGGGAGTCATCCTCTTTACAATCTGTATCCAGCCCAGCAGCACATCCTGCCTGGACCGCCTTCCGCAAACGTCCAGAATTTGCCTCTGCTCACCTCTTGCAAGCCACCCCTAACTCACCCCTGGCTTGCTGGCTGGCATTTGCAGAAGCAGACGTTCATCCTGGTTCCCCCAGCTTTATACCCTACCGTAGGTCGCTGTCTGCAGGTGTGTCAGCAAGACCCCTCCCCGATCGCTTTTCTTACAGTACAGCCCCAAGACGCTTTTCTTTGCTTTAGTACATCCCACTAACTTGACTCCTTTGCTTTTCTGGCCACTGCTTCCTGTCCAAACCTACCCTCCATGAGGGTCACTGTTTGCTGCTATCAAGGCCACCTGGTGCACAACGGGGGCTGACCACTGTGATTTCACAGGCTAATGCCCAGAAACATGACCAGGACTTTGTTCTAGTATGATAGATCCGGAAGATTCTGCCGACAATTGCTCAGCGTCACCGCAACACAGCCTCCACTGACTGGGGGCAGGGGCTGCGCACACTGGAGGTGCAGCACTGAAGCCCGGGACCCCTTGATGCAGGTGGAAAGGCTATCACTGACCCCCACTCTATGAGGGTCAAGCAAGTTCTCATGGATTGGATCGGTTCCTACTTGACCCCCAGGGGCTCCCTGACAGAATCTCCAATGATGTCAATTTTCGAAGGGCCAGGTTGCCACAGCTTTCTCCAATGGAGGAGCCTGGGGGTGGGGGTACTTCAAACAACTGGCTGCTTAGCAGCCAAGGCACTTTAACCATTGTGACCCAGGGCACCCCGAGGGGATGGAGGAGGTGTAATGTTTTCAGCAGCTGGGAAAGTGCCTGCATGGAACAGGCCCACAATCCATGTGAAAAATCATAAAACCAGAAGCCTGCTCTCGAGGCAAGTCTGGCTCTGAGCAGCCCGAGAGAAGATTCTAGGGCTGTACACCTTTACAGGAGCAGACAGCCTTGTCTGCTACCTCAAAGCAGTAGAGGGCTTTAACTGCCAGAGTGGCAGTCTCAGTCCACCACATACCAGATAGCATATAAGGAGCTCTTCAAAATGTGGGGGGACCAAGGGAGAGGGGTTTTAGCATCTTAATTGTCTTTGTCCACCAAGTCCTCTTGTACTCATTGACTAAATGAGAGGAACTATGCCCAAGTGCCCACTCTTTCTGTCTCTTCCTATAAGCTATTCCCCTCAGCCCATCCCATGCCAGTGCTGGTGCCTCTCCCAGGCCGCCCCTCCTTGAGGAGGCCCCCTCCTCCAGTCTCACTGAGAGCTGACCTGCACGGGACACTTCCAGGATCTGCTCCCTAGCTCCTCATCCACTCTACTCTCTTTCATTTTAAAGCCATCGTTTTTATAGTAAATGATGGCATTATAACAAAAGCTTGTAAAAACTCAGCCTGATATCCCTATGTTATCAACAGCTGCTAAAAAGGTAGAACCTGGATTCCAGGGCTCAAAGGATGAAATCATTTATTACAGGTCTAAGCACCTGGGGGTGTTCAATAAATCTAGTGTGATGGTGATTGAAACGCAGCTCCCAGGTTCTGCAATCTGTCAGGGCCCTCGCGATCAGGCCATCCATCCCATCGTCCCGGCAGAGAGCACGGATCACACACCCGGTGGGTCCCTTCCTTATTCTGCAGCTGCCGGAGCACCCACACCACCTGCAGCCTCGGGCCCCGGGGGCGCTGAGCAGCGGAGGCGAGAGTTTCTTCTCCGATCTTGGGCCATCATGACATTGGTGGGGGGGCTCTGGTGTGCAATTCTTGGAAAGAGATGGGGTGAGGCCTCCGCGGAAAGCAGTCCGGCGGGACCAAGGACAGCTACAGCTCGGCGGGTCAGGAGGCGGGGCCGAGGAGGAGCCAGCGAGCGTCCACCCTGAGTCCGACACGCTTCCAAAGGGCTGGAAATCAGAGGAGAGCAAGCGAGGGAATGCTGCCTCCCCAACGCCCCCGTGCGCGCCCCGCCCCCACCGCCTTGTTTGCAAACACCCTTCCATCGTTTCCCCAAACAAATATTGATGAGTTTGACGGAAAGCAAGCCAGTTTGGCTGCACCATTCGCTCTTTTCGTAGAGGGTCAGCAAGAAAAGAAGACCTTGAAACTGGACTGACTCGTAGCCACAAGTGCTCGGGGCCTGGTGGTGTCTCTTTCTGCGGTCCATACCAAAGTCCACAGCGGCCAGCAACAATGTTTGCTCGTTGCTCGGCCAGCAGGAGGGGGCTTTAGAACAGAAGAGCCCCCAAGTGATGAAAAAATATCTAGGTGAAATTGCCCCCCCAATCCTGAAAGAGCTGAGGTCACTCGCTTACTGGGTTTCACAAATTAGATAAGAAATAAATATAATTGTGTCTAATTTATAATGAATGTTTGTAGTGAAAATAAAATGCACATAGAAAAATGGGCTAGTGATGGAAGGTGAATAGAAATGAATCTTCTTGATAAACTTTTTATCTATAACATTTAACTTAGAATCATTGCATTTAGTAGATAAAATACCCAGAAAAGTCACTTTCCAACTACATATGCTAAGTGATAGGAATGAAAACATGACCAGCAGAATAAGACTTCTGTGAATTTTTCTTTTTGACATAAAAATAATAATGACTGATGTGAGTCATTTTGGCAAAATAAAAATATAAGATTTTTCATTGGAAATCACTTGGCTGTGCTGAATGGGTAGAGAGTCGCTGACCTTTGTGCATGACAGTTATATTACTGGTAATAAGAAGAGCATGCCAAACTTCCAGAAGCTTCTCTACAGGAATTCCAGAGCCTGTAGAAGAAGCAGGTGGTCTCTATACCAAGCCATTTCTCCCACGAGTCCCCCCAAAAATCCCCACCAGAACATCCTCCCACTTTCCCTGTTGGACTTGTTTAGAGGATACAGTGTTCTTGGAAATGGACTTTTCTCATTTCAAAAATAAAATTGCCGAACGATGGGACAAGTCTGGTTTTCATCCCCGCTTTCTCCAGCTTCTACATCACCACTGTCTCCTTCCCTCCTCGGTGGCTCCAGGACTCAGGAGTCCCAGCAAAGAGGTGGCCCTGCTGGGGGACAGACATGTCTCCCCTCTCCATCTCACCTGACCTTCCTCATCATGGGATCTTTCCCAAGAGTTCCACTTTCCGGAACCTGCACTACTTATCTTGCCAGTAGGGAAGACTTCTCCCCTTGGTCCTGAGAGGAACGTGGAGAACCCTTCCTTATTGCTGGCTGAGGTGAATGTCTGCTCAGTAAGACCCCCTCCCCTGCCCCCGCCTTAGGAACTGCTTCCCCTCTCCTGAGCTCCACCTTGAGGACCACAAGCAAGTACGGCTTCTCTTAAAC